GCTGCATCACCCCTAAGAACTCGTTCGTCATCCTTATTTTTAAGATTGTCATAAATATATCCAGTTCTCTCTTAGTTATTATGATATATACATTAGTTTTGCCCACAAAAGATGCTATACAATCAAGCCTTGATGTGTAGAGTTTCATGCCATCAAAACCTAATCTCACCAATCAGGCTCAATCTTCCTCATCTGGCACTCCCATTATTCCTGATGAAGTTGCTCTATTGTATTCCATAATGATTCCCAAAGGAGAACTCCATATATTCTGCCGGGAGGGCCCAGCCAATGAATTACGACTATTAATCACAACCTGCTGAATGCAAGGGTTAGTGACTATTATTTCTGTCCTGGCTGATGTAGACTTAATGAATCACAGTCCAGATATTGATGAGTAGTCAATGCTGAGAGGGAAGAAAAATGCTGACCTGTGTTAAATTTGCCTTCAACTCAGTTTTAACTTTTAGCACAGAACATTTTGGGCCGGAGGACTGGCGATAATGCAACACAAATGAAAGCAGGGAATTTGCACTTAGGGAGAACTCCCACTGAATTATCTCTTCAGGGCTAATTTAGCTTTTTTCATCATTTCTTTTCAACTAATTATTATCTGCAAATGCAATCAGACACTTTCACTAGATAAAATGACTTAAAGCAAATAAAAAACAAATAGAAATAGGCTGAATAATGCATGAATAATCTAAATTAGATGTAGCGACTAAGATAAGATATATGCTTATGATGTAATTTATTCGTTTATTTATTTGTCTATCTATCAGACTATTTATTTATTTTATTTTATTTCTATTTTTATTGTTTATTTTATGTATTTATTTATTTTGCTGTGCAGGCCAGAAAATGAGCAGGGGCCTGTGAAGCTTTTGTGCTAAATTTGTAAATGGTAATTATGCTTTTTAAACTGACAGATGTCGTCTTTTTCTCAACACAGAGCGGCATAAAATGTTTCAATAGTGCTGTAATATTTTTAAACGTTTTTAACTCCAGTTATAGGACTTTACAATGGACTCTTAATTTATATTGGTGACGTCAATGACCGTGAACAGCTCGCCAACCAATCAGTAGCGGCCTTTCTCACCGCGTAAAATCCGTGTAGAAAATCTGTCGATTTTCTGCAGTATCTGCCAGATTTTTTTTTAGTGTACCATTATATTTTTCCAACATTAAAATAAGCTCCTCTTTGAGTGACCAGAACCATATTTCATTGACTGTTCAGCTGCATTCGCTCCCATTCATTGAGGTCTCTCGCGCGCCCTCTAGCGGTTTGCTGTGATATTTTTGGTATAACGAGACGTGGTCAGGACATGAAAGACAGCAGATATGCCACGGTGTTTTCTGTCCAGGTGAGAAACACTATATTATCCCTATATGTTCACTATTCATACAATCTAACACCAAAAGCATTGTTTATACAGTCTAAACCCAGTGGCCAAATATGGATATGTATTCATTAAAATGAATGACTGTTTTCTAATTCTGGGAATCTCAACTCTCACTTTTTTCACTTCATCGTAGAAAATAAAAAGTTTACTGTTGTAAAAGTGTACTGTTGCTAATCTGGCCAGAAATGAATGAAAGGGGTCATTCCACAGCAGTTCATATAGGGCCAGTAATGACGAAATCAAGCAAAAACTTCAATCCAATTTATGCAGCCTCCAGCAGGAATGTGTGGAGCTTATTCTGGTGGCCAGGAAGACAGACAGACTACATTATTACATGCCTCTGTTAGAGATTTTGAGCATAACAGGTCCCAACAACAAGAAACCTTCCATAGTAGCATGTGAGCTTATTACCTCTCAACAAAGTATGACTTTCTGGAGCATTATAAAGGTTGTTTTGGCATCAAGAACTCCCACAGTGTCATAGAGTCATAGCATATCTGTATGTTAATCAGGCATAACTGTTTTTATTCAGAAAAAGTGTGAAGAAAATAGAATTAGTTGCTTTTTAGAAAATATAGGGTCAAAAAAGCCTTTAAAATGGATTTTAAATTAATGGCATAGCTTCATATATTGTAAGTACATAATGCAAAAAGTTGTAAACATGTGGGTGTTTATGTATACAAAATTAGTTGAAGTGAAATATTGTTGTTGATTTTTTATTTATACTCTGTTAATATTTCAGTTCAGTCATTCTGTAAGCAAGTTCAATATTTAAGAACCTCATGGGGAACCTTTACTTGGAACCACATGGGGCCTAAATTCATTACTTAAGAGCAATTTGGAGCACAGTTTTTAAATTTTGCATGGTTTATAAATTGAATTGTTGTTTTTACTTGAGTTGACTGAACAGGGCCTGGAGGAATCATAAAGGAATGAACCAACATCAAGTAGGAAAAGGCCAGCATGAGCTCTCTATCTCAAAGTCGCTCAGTTTCGGAGAATTTTGGAGATACACCAAAATGACAATTTTTGCAAACGATTGTAAGTTACTGAACAAAATTTGTCATGACAACATAAGACACCATATAACATCTGCCATGACATGTTAATAGCATAGTTGTGTCATTGTAATGTAGAAAATATAAAATCGACAAAACATCAAACTGGAATTGGACCAGGGGTGCCCAGACTTTTTCATACAGCAGACACTGCATTTCAGAGTGGTTGGAATCAGTGGTTAAAGTTGATCAAGTGCCACTAAAGCAGCTCCACAGTATATGATGCTCTATTCTAAGAGATGCGTGTTAATACTCACACAGACAATTGAATCCTCAACAATCTGCAACTTAATCTACCTGGGTCACACATGTTCAATCACATCTTTACTGATGTCCCTATTATGTGTCCCTTGTGTCCCTTGTCTTGTTTATTGGCCCCTGCTGGCACCGTACTGGCCTGCCTACTGCAGAACTGGGTTAAAATGAAGCTAAGTAATCTGATAAGAGCCTTCTTGCCTCACTTCCATTTCCTCAGCAGTGCTCTGCTTAATTAAAGCTTTGTGCTTTTGCACAGTGCCAATCAGACCGAGCTGGGATGTGTGTGACATGAGCGTCTTCATCTAGGCCTCGCTGCTGCATCCAGGCCTCTCTCATTCTTCAAGCCTCCCTTATATTATTTCTCCTCACTCATGTGCAAGATTTCCTGTGGAGTTTTCCATCTTTTTTTATCACCTTTTTCAAGAAAAGTGAAAAGTACAACTAAAATGTAGTTGTCAAATATGTAGTTAAAGGAAAAGCTTATACAGCAAAAATGTAGCAGCCATATCGAAGCCTTAAATTGGCTTGTTTTTATATAAAACAACATGTCATACAGTGTCAGAATCCCCATAAACAAGTCTATATGAGTTTATGATAACCTCAGTGTGGCCTGAGGCAAGTTTGTGATGTCTTAGGCATGTTTGCACATGCTAATGCAGTATTAGCTTCCATTGCTATTTAGCTACATTAGCCTCTTAGCTGCCGTGCAAAACTAAACGTTTGACACCGAAAACCATGTCTTTGCCGATCACCTGTTCCTTCAAACTGTCTTTCTTCATCAGAAAACTTTTGATAAAACCAACTCTAGCCATAATAATAGCTATAATAATCATTGTAGCACTTTTCTCAGCTAATGCTCACTTTTTCACAGCTGAGGTGAAGATTAGCATTTTCCAGTACCCGATTTGTGCAAATGTGACCAGACAGTGAACAAGAGGCCAAGAACAAAGTGTCCAAGTGTCCTTTTATGAAGAGTAAAGCTACTGTGCATGAACACAAACAGCCTTTACTGCTTAAAATAATGATGGACACACCGTATATAATTTACGTTAAGGCAGTTAAAGTGTTATGTGTCTGCCTGTTCTTTGCTTTTAAAATGAGAAGGTAGTGACAGTAATTATAGTTATTTCCAACATGTGCCTGTAATCTTTCATCAGCTTTTAATAATGGGCTACTGATAATGCATTTTAAATGTTGAAGCACTTTATCTGCAACTGGCCCACTTAAGCTGAACAAGACGAGGGGGGACTGTGTCCTTTTTAAGCAGGTGCAGCGCAAATTGGACATTATTTCAGCACAGAAAGTGGTGATTTAAATCAAACTAATAGCAACTGAGTTTAGAGTGTTTCTTCTCCTGTTGTGATTTTCTTAGGAGTGACGATTCTGGTGTTTGACAAAAACTGTCCCATTTTTTGTGAGGCCATGTTTGCAACACCAAAACAAATTTAAATGGCAAGAAGAGATTGTGGGTGCTTGAACTGTAGACGCAGCATTCAGCAAATACGGTAAGCAAAACCAAAAAAGCACCTCGAAATAAGGCATGGGAGAGCAAGGTGAAAAAGAGGACAAAATTAGTAAAAAAAAAATTTTTTTTTTTTTTTTGTTTTGTTTTTTAATGGCTATATACCATATCGCTGCTGTCATTTTTCAGTTTTTGACATAATTTGAAGACGACTGTTGCCTTTTATGTTGTTTGTAAATTTCATGATAAATGAACCAAAAGAAATGACCCAAAATTACTTGGAAAAAAGTCTGGTTCTGTTGATTTACTTTAAAAGTAAAGTAGGTTTTTTCCTTCTCCTGTAAAGTTACCATTTTGGAGATCCGACAGGAGCGATATTTTTATAAAAATAAATAAACAAATAAATAAATAAATAAATAAGGTACATAACCATTTTAAAAACACATGTCATGACATTGTTAAAATAAATAAAATTAAATATAATAAAAATAAAATTAATTAATTAATTTAAAAAAGAAAAGTATAAATCAATTAATTAGGTAGTATCACGGAGTATATCTTCATTTCTAACACCTCCATTTCCTGCATATTGGCTTTTTATGTGATATATTACATTCATTATACTATCAGTTTTATTGATAATTATATCATTGTTTTTATGTTTATCTTCGTCCGGCATTGTTTTCTTGGAGTCAGTTTTCTAAGAAAACGGTGCAAAAATAAATAATTCAACCTCCTTGAAATGTTGACATTTGACGTCATCATGAATGGGTGTAACCTAAAGCCTTAGGAAAAGCCGTGTGGAGCTCTGCTCTCACACACAGGTGAGGCAGGTGAGCGCTGACAGGTAGCTGTGTCTGGACAGGTATTACACTAGAATGGTCTATTTTACACTGGGCCATTTTCAGTTTGGATTAATATAAAAGCTGAAGTTGCATGTGCTTAAATGAAAAATCTTATGCGCATGACTAACTACTGTTTTTCATTTTCAGACTGTAGCACGTGGACTGGAGCTGAACACATTACTGCACACATGGTAAGAGCAGCAATATCATCCCCAAAACAACATAAGAAACAGAAAATATTTGAGCTGTAGAAATATAGACAGATCTTCAGAAAACAATAAAATTAATCATTAAAAGTCATAGATTCATAAAAGTCATAGAAGATTTCATAATGATTTGACTTGATGCAGTTCTTTTCTAAGCTTTTAAAATGACTTTTAAAAAAAGCATTTCTGAACCCAAAGATTTGCCTGGAGGAACTATTTACACAATAATAGAATTATAGACACTTTACACCAATATTTCTTTCTTTTTTTGTACATTTTATATTTGAAAACGCACTGCTTTTTTGGTGAACCCTATTTCATATGGTGTCATGAGTTGTCAGGACAGATCATATTTAATAATATACAGTCATATACAAAATTTTGGTGCCCCTGGCAAAATTCTCTAAATTTTGTTGGTTTTGTAAGTGAAAACAAGTTAAAACATCCTTTACAGAGAACACACCTCTGCACATTTTAATGCATAATTACTGTTTATTTGCTGGATGTAACATATTGGAAAAAATAACACATTACATGTGGCCTGTGCAAAAGTTTTGGCATACTTTCTTTTTTCCCAATACATTAAACAAAAATAGAAATTGAAAAAATAGAAATCCAAAAATGCCATATTTGAGTGTGTTCTCTGTAGAGGATGTGTTGACCTATTGTCACTTAAAAAAAAAACAAAAAAAACAACAAAACGTCTAATCTGACCGGCTCAAACTTTTGCATACATTGGTAATCATACAGTGTCATGTTACTATCACAGTTAATTGTCATGACAGATGTTATAGTGTTTGATGTCATGGTGGCTAACTGGAGTAAAAATTAGGATGTGACATAAGCTGTTATGACATCAAGCATTATGGCATCTGTAAAAACAATTAATGGTAATGATAACATGATACTGTTATATTACTAAACAAAATATGGCATCTTCCATGACATGTTTATGGATTAGTTATGTCAGTGTTATTCTGCAGGGTTCAAGGAAAGGGTTGCCTATGATATTTGGGAAAAACAAGTGCATGGTTTATTGAATATTATATCGGTTCTAATAGATTCTGACATTCCAAAGCTCATGCAGTTGTCCACCTTCAGGCTGATGCATCGAGGCATTTTTATACCCTCACCATTCTGTACTGTTGAAATGGGCTTTGAATTGTCTCTCAGTGACTCATGAAAATCTCTCATTCTCAGTTTGAAAGGAAAAGCAAAGGCCCCTGTCAGAATAATAACAGCTGTGAGATAAATTAATCATTCTCGGTGAAGCTTGTACATTATTATGTGTGATGTGTTTGACAGATGACCACGGTCAGCAAATTAAAAAGAAGACAATCATCTGTGCTGCCACAGTTAATAATGATGGTTTGATAGAATAAGTGAGCAATCTATTGAGCAGTTTTTTAAAAAGATTAATATGACCATGTACTTATTTTATTCATTTGAAGTCACTTGTTCTTCGTGTGGTTATTGTAGCATTATGTAAATCAGACCATTCAGGAAGCTCTTCACACCATGAGAATGTGAATTAATAAAGATGGTCTGTTTAAATGGAGATGGTGCCTTTAGATAGTTTGCGATTTCTCTGCTGTAGCTGGTGTCACTTGCTGAAGGTAACAGATCTGTGTTGGCCTGGATGCAGCTGTCATGGAGTTTCCAGTTGATGGTTGATTGGATTACAGTAGTTCGGACACGTAGTGGTCAGACCGTGCTACAGCACCGATGAGGTCAGCGGTTTGGCATCAGCCTCGCGGAGAAAAAGAAACACGCCTATCATTTAATCTCTGCATCTGCAAGGATTAGCCATGCTTGGCCTGTCACTACAGTTGTGTCGAGCCGTACACTGGTCGTTAATGCTCCGATGCACTGAGCAGTCTGCATGGCTTATGAAATATGAAGCAGTTCTTTACAATGGAATGGAGTTTTATATCAAAACAGACTGATTGGAGATTAAGAAACCTGCGTGTTTTGAAAAATGCTTCATAAAACAGACGGCCAATTAAAGGTGTGTCGTGGTTTATAGATGCATTTAAATGAGCTCAACTTGACACCTGCACTTGATCCTAATGCTTAAAGCCAGAAAACAAAGAGCTAAGCCCATCACTGGCGTTTCAGAACTCAACTCAAATTCATTTTGTTTGCTTTGCCTTCTGAAGGAGCACCGAAGATGAGGTGTATTTGTTTTGCTGTTGAGAATCGCCTCTGTGCCTTTTAAGTGTGGCATCCAGCCCCACCTGTGATCGGTATCGGCTATCGGTCAGTAGTGCTGAAAGGCGATCAGCGAAGGGTATCGGCCCCAAAAGCACTGATCTGTCCATCTCTACACATGACTGATATATACTTCATTTTGAATCAACACCCAGTCATATTCAGTGTTGGGGAAAAAAGGAAACATTTTAACAGGAAATTGTGCAAAAGCCTCAATGACTTAATAGGATATAAAATGTTTCAGCATTCGGTGTGTCTTTATTACAACTTTCATTCTTTTCATTTTTCATTTTTTGAGGGTTACTTTACCCCTTGGAACTGAGCTACTAGGAATAGTGGTTGAAATGTGACCTCCAAATAAAAAAGAACATTACTTCATTGGACTAAGCGGTTAATGATGATGATGATGATGACTACTTCATTAACAGGCTACTAGCGGTTCTCTGTAGGCAACCTGCCAGTCTGCAGTGATAGCAGAGGAGGGTAAAGTTCAGCAGCCTCGCTGCTCTTTAGTTAAATGTTAAATTTAGGGCATCATATGCTTTCAAAGGGGGGGGTGTTGGGTATGCAACAGTTATCTATTATTGCCCGCTGCTAATTCTTCGGTGGTATGAAACTGAAGTCAGCTTTTGGATCCCACAGTATGTCGCTGTTGTCGCAACAAAACCTTGTATCTCCATTTTTTTTTGTCATTTTTCAGTTTTTGACATAATTTGAAAATGCCTGTTGTTCTTTACATTGTGTCTAAATTTCATGATGAATGGACAAAAAGAGATGAAGCAAAATTACTTGGAAAAAAGTCTGGTTCCATTGACTTACATTAAAAGAAATGTATGCTTTTTTCTGTCTCCTGTAAAGCTACCATTTTGGAGATACAAGGTTTTGTTTCAATGGTATGTAGTGTATACAGAGCATACAAATATGTAAAATTTGAAAAATCAGGCTGTTTATGCTTCTTCAAAGCTTTAAAATCTATGAAAGCATTGTTTACTTTCTGTCTTGGCTCCTATCACATGCCCATGATATTGAGAAATAGGTCTCACAATCATAAAGACGGTACGACAGCGGGAGACATAAGTAGCTGGAGGCAGGGCATGCTAATGATGCTCATATCTACCAACACCTGCGCTAGTCTGGGCAGTACAGAGCTGGCTGCATGATGATGATACAGCCAACAATTTAGAGTTTCTACTTTAGCTTCCACTAGTGCAAATGAAAATGGTGTAGACATGTAGAAGTTAAGTAAATTGAGAACATCTGCTTATCATTTGGCATTGCATGCTCTGTAGTCCAAGTCCACTACATCATTCAGTGAGGAAAAGGTTGCAGTCTGCAGTTGTACTGATTCTACTGCTGTCCCAGATCAGTCTGTGCTCTGTCCTACAGGCTAGCAGAGGCAGTGTGAAACCCTTCGTGAACTTCAATGCCAAGCAGGATGCTGACCTCTTACGCAAAGCCATGAAAGGGATCGGTGAGTCAGTGTTAGTTATCCTAGCTGCGCAGCTGCATGCAAAAGTTTAGGCACCCCTGGTCAACTTACATGTACAAGTACATCTCCTCTACAGTGAGCATACTTCACTGCGCGTTATTACACAAGAACAGTTTATCTGCTGAATTTAATTTATTTAACACATTTAAAATAAACCATGAAATGTGGCCCGTGTGAAAGATACTTTGCATTCTATATTTTATGTTTTTGTTTTTTTTCAATATATTAAATTCAGCAAATTAATAGAAATTGTGCAATAAAATGCCATATTTAAGTTTGTTCCCTGTAGAGGATGTATGAACTTTTCAATTAGAAAATAAGTATGAAATATAACATCAAGAATGCCTTGTAATTGAAAAGTGTTGATCAAATCTTGAGATACTTCCTTAACAAGGAATGACTATAAATAGATATTTACAGTATCTTAATTATTAAATAAGAATTTCTTTTTGTTCCCAAAAAATGTTAAATAAAATACCTAAAATATATTTTGTTGTATAATGTATAGTATTTCAGTCAACACTGCATAGGTTATTATAGAGTAAACAAAAGGAATTATGGAATAACTAAAGTTTGGGGGAGGGACATGCCTGAAGCCCCTCCTCCTTCCAATCTAATGCTATATATAAATTCACATCCTTACCTTCCATTTCCTGTGGCAAAGTTCTCGCAATCCCCACCACCACCCCATCTCCTTCCATTTCCTCAGTCCTTTGACAGTCCAACCACAGTTACAAGGGTGGTCCGGCCTTCTAGCGACAGGCAGAATCCGCCCAGAACTCCAGCCAAAGTTCTCAGAGTTCTCTCCCCTCCCTCATTTAGTCTTCCCTCATACTATCACCACCATGTTGAAGCCACAGTTCGAACTCACAAACAGCTATTAACGAACAAGTGATTCTAAACGTTTGAACATTAGTGTAGCCTGTTGTGGAAGTCCTAACAAAACTGTGTATCTCCAAAATAGTAACTTCAGGAGAAAGCAAAAATGTTGTGACTTCTAATGGATGTTAATGTAAAGAGATTAATTTTGGGACAGGTAATTTGGGATCTTTTCTTTTGGTCCATTCATCATGAGATGTTCACATAATGTACAGGACAGCTGCTGAGCTCCAAAATAAAAATTGGAAAATGAATGAAAAGATAAATAGATTTTGATAGGACACTGACGCTATGTATATGCAGTTAGTGGTTCAGCTGCATTCTAGGTAACAGTAGCTTGCATGTCTAGAAGACCAAAAAAGGTTGGATGGACACTGATGATGTCATCTTTCTCACTTAACCCAAATCAGCAGTCCTGATCTCTATCTGCAGGTGTAGTAATAAATAAATTGCATAGTGGAGATACAGTGACACACGGTAATTACTAATTGCACTGCTTGGCGCTTTCTCTCCTTGAATTATTTACATTAAAAAAACAAATGAATCTAGCACAGGGTGAGAGTTTTTCACTTTCACATGTTTGAACTAGAGCTGGATAATATTACAAATGCGTAATATCACGATACTTCAAGAAGTTTCAGAAGACACATTAAAAATGCAATTAAGGACTGATTGGCAGTTAACATTGTACATGAAATCTAATGAAACAAGACTAATTGGCTCTCTTTCATTGTTCTTTGAGTAATGGTGATGTCCATGATATGCTCAGAAAAAAACATACTGTGACGTAATTTATCACGATAACGATACATATTGTCATTGTCATTGCCCCGCCCTGTTTGAGCTCTTTGTTATTTGATTACCAGGTTGCATGAGAATATAACATGTAACATTATAGACAGTTGTTTGTCTTACAGGTGTCTATGAGATCATCCATACGTTCCTTAGGATCTCCATGCTTGGGAAAAACGTTATGTTTTGCCATTATGGTGATGAATTCACAGCTCAACTGTAATCTGTTCTATGTTTTGAGATGGTCTAGGCCATCTTTAAGCACCATGTGTGGTTTGTATGTACAGGCACAGATGAAGATGCCATCCTCATGCTCCTAACTGCCCGCAGCAACGAGCAAAGACAAGAGATCAAAGCAGCATACAAGAAAGCTCATGGCAAGGTGAGACACATGCATGTACTCATGCCTCAGTATTTGAGTAAGTGTACACCTTTAAATCATCCATATCCTACTTTTTCCACTTATAACATTTGTGGTTCGTCATTTTTATTTAAATGACCTTTTCTAACCCTTTTTTTTTCCTTAAAAGTAAACAGCCTGTTTTTGTAACTGTGTCTTTAAGACTTGTGTATGTAAATGACCTCTGTTCTGATTGGCTGACCTTTATTGCACCTTATTTAAAAAGCAAAGCAATACAAGCTGAAACATTCCTAATAATTTCAGCATGAATGAGCGGAGCGAAACTGCTGTAGACTCAGTAGTTGTGTGTTGGTTTTTGTGATGTCACACAAATAGTGAATCCAAAATGGGCTGTTTTTGTAGCTTAGTTTCTATATCGCTGCTGTCGGAACAAAAATTTGTATCTCCATTTTTGTCGTTTTTCAGTTTTTGGCATAATTTTAAAATACCTGTCGCCCTTTACATTGTGTGTAAATTTCATGATCAGATATGGCCCAAAAGAAATGGCCCAAAATTACTTGAACAAAAAGTCTGGTTCCATTGATGTAATTAAAAGTAAAGTATGTTTTTTCCTTCTCCTGTAAAGTTACTGTTTTGGAGATACGAGGTTTTGTTCCGACAGCAGTGATATATGAACTGGGGAGTAAATTTTTAGTTTTGAAACTTCAACAAAGGTTACATACTACATCAAACTCTTATATTTCAAAAAAGTGAGGAAATTCCATTTTCTGTGATATGGGCTCTTTAATTTATGCAATAGCTAAATGTGAATTGTTTTTTTTTAACTAGAATTGTTTTTGAACATTTGTATTTTATTTACTGAGAATAAGTGTAACGTGTATTGTAGGAAGAGGACTCTTGAATGCTCAACTACACTGTGTGCACTTAAAACATGATGCGCATTTATGTAAATGCAGTCATCACAAAAATAAGTGCAAAGAAAGGCAAAATTCTGTTGGTATATTTTGTTCATGTGGAAATTATGTACACATTCGAATCAGCAAATTCAGTGCATCACTTTTTTCAGTGTGTGAGCTGTGCATGTGCGCACACACCCTGTGTGTATGTCTAATGCCTCTAATTACCAGAGAACATGATGAATGGCAAATGAAGTGAATTCCAGCCTTTTGCTCTGTACACATTAGTGACTGATGATGCTGATGGGATTTCTATTACCGCGGCTGTCAGGCCAAGATTATTCCGTAATGAGCCAATAACTATAAATCCTGAACCTCTGCGTTCCTTCGTCTCTCTCTCTCTCTCTTTCTCTCTCCCTCTCTCTCTCCCTCTCTCTCTCTCTCTCTCTTTCTCTCTTTCTCTGTAGGACCTGGTGAAGGATTTAAAGTCAGAGCTAGGAGGGAAGTTAGAGGATCTGATCGTGGCTCTGATGTCTCCTCCCCGCATGTATGATGCAGATCAGCTTCACAAGGCCATCAAGGTAACATGAAGCTTCTACACTCTTAAAAATAAAGGTGGAGAAGAACTACTTCTGGTTCTCTGAAGAGCATTTTTAAATTATTAGTTTATTATTATTAGTTATTAGGCCTTTAACCCCTTAACTTTCATGGACCTTACACTGAATCCAGAGTTCCTCACTCTTTGAGTTTAATCAGAGTCCTTATAGGAATGTCTGTTCACTTAGTGGTCGCTGGGCAGTTATTTCCAGCCAAACAAGACCAGGCTCCTATCTCTTTAAGTGGGCGGAGACATACACAGCCAAAAGTAAAAGCCACATTAACGTTTCAAAAACATATTGGAAATCACTGATAAAATCTGACCAAACAACACAAATAGTTTGTAGCATAGCTTCAGTAATGCAGAAAAAAATCAGGGTTTTTTTTGGGTTGTTCTTGTTGGGTGACCCCCACAGCAAGGGGGAGTTTCCCCGCTTGCAGTGTAACCAGCAAGCTGATTGGCTCTTTTTATCGTAGGATGGGACTTTGCTTGTAAACAGATGCCATGTTGGGCGTTGTGAGCTTTCAGTGCTGTGAAAAAGTATTTGATTTCTTCTATTTTTGCATATTTATCACACTATTTTTGTTTTAGATCTCGAAACTAAGTTTAACATAAGACAAAGGCAACCTTCATAAGCACAAAAAACTTTTTTATATTGAATGCAAAAAATTATCCAGCACCAACTGGCCCTGTGTGAAAAAGGAATTTTCCACTAAGTTACTCAATCAACCAAATTAAGTTGATAATTTGGGTCAATTAAACTAGATGCACTCAGACTTGATTACTGTCAGACCTGTTGAATCTAAACATCCCTTAAATGGAACACAACCTAAAACACTCTCTAGCAGAAAATCCTGCAGGAGAACGTATGGTAATCTGAAGCTCAAGTGCACTTGGGTTATGCAGCAAGAAACGATCTGAAACACAACAGCAAGTCCAGCTCTGAATGACACAACAGAAACAAACAGGCTTTTACAGTGGCCAAGTCAAAGTTCTGCTTTGAACCCATTTGAGATGCTGTGGCAGGACTTTAAATGTATAGTTCATGCTTGAAAGCCCACCCACTGTGGCTGAATTAAAGCAGTTTTGCAAAGAAGAGGGGGCCTCCACAGTGATGTGAAAGACTGATTTCCACTTATTGCACATAATCTGAAACAGTTTAGTGGCAAAAAATGTGGAAATCAAGAGGGGGCAAATATTTTTTCACAGCACTGTGATTACTCATTTTGCAGTGTATTCAATGTAACAACTGAACAAAAAAACATAGGATGTGGACAAAGGAGTTTAAGGGCTTTAGAATGGACAAAGAAGCTCAAATGGTCATCTCTTGTAATACAGGGCGCAGGTACCAATGATAAAGTTCTGATTGAAATCCTGGCCTCCAGGACATCTGAGCAGATGAAGGAGATCATCAAGGCATACAAGAAAGGTAATCATTACTCTGCCTGTGGAAAATAAGCTGGGCTGGTCCTATTGTTAACACGGCTCCAGTTTCTCATAAATGAGTTCGAGCTACGAGGGTCAGATGATGGCCTGCACTGTCACATTTTACTCAAATGAACATCAGTATCAAATTAAGCTCTAGTGTTAACCATGACCTATCGGGTCTTACTTTTTGTTTGATAGTGTTTGTTATCATAAGCTAGAAGCTGCTGTTTTGTGTCCACTACTGAAAAGAACCCCAAGTATCATTAAGAGGTACCGGCCATATGCACAGTATGGTGCTTGTGTGTCATCTGAGCCAGATATTGGAGACAGAGAAGCTATCCTACTCACAGGACAATGGAATCTATGATGAGAAACGAATGCTCTTAGAACTCAACACTTCCATGATTGGGTCGATTAAGCCATTAAGACTGTTTGTTTGAGCTAAGTAGTAGCAATCAGCCATTCCTCTCTCATGTTTCTAATTTAGAGCATGGCAAGCTGGAGAAGGACATCATGGGAGACACTGCTGGACATTACCAGAGGATGCTGATTATCCTTGTACAGGTAATGGATGGAACATGAGCTTGTGGTAGTTGTTGGAGGGGTTTAATTTGGCCAGGGCACACTGGAGTGGACCTATAGGAACTCTGGTTTATGTGAACTACAAATGAACGATAATTTGATGGAAATATAGATGATTGATAAAGTTTCCAAAGTCTTCTTTTTACCCCTATCCCTTGTTTTCGAATGTCACCCTAACCCCTTGGAACTGGGTTACAAGGGGTAGTGGTTGAAATCTTGCCCTACGAAATGGGACCCTCAAATAAAAAGAACATTACTTCATTAACAGCTACTGGCGCTGCTCTGTAGGCGACCCTGCCAGTCTTCAGTGATAGCAGAGGAGGGTAAAGTTCAGCTCCTCACTGCTGGGCTTTAGTTACATTTAGGGCATCATATGCTTTCAAAAAGGGGGGCTGAGACAATTATTTATTATCGCCCACCGCAAATTCTTTGGTGATATGAAGCTGAAGTCAGATATTCACCAGCTTCTTGTTCGAATTTTCCCTTTCCACCTTAAATGGTGCAGCAGTTACATTCTGGTGCTTCAGGCGTCAAAACTGTTGGACTATTTAAGGTGGAACGGGAAAGTCAGCTAGATAGCTACCGAGACATGAATAGCATGCTATCAGCGATCTTTTATGCTTGTTATGAAGAAAATAACCGTAATACATTGAAACGACATTAAACTAAGATAATATAATGGTTATCGTAAATTTTTTAACAGAGAAAATACTTCTCTTCTTTGGTCGCTCGCGCAGCCATCTTGCCGGTTATTCTTTTTTCTCATAACACTCTGTTTGGTGTGTGCCTCTGAAAAACCTCCGTTTGGAGGGTCATGTAGCCCTAACACTTCGCCCTACCCCTCTATCTCAACAGAAATTGGGACACCCTACCCCTAGACGTGAACGTGCAAAACAGAAGGCTAAGGGCTAAGTGGTAGGGGCAAGGGGTAGGCCTTAGTCATGACCCATGAGGTCAGGGGTTTTATCTTAACTGATCACTGTTGTGCCCTTGAGCAAGGTATTGAGCCCACAGTTGGTTTGATGTGGGCAAACCATTGGCTAAACATAATGCAAGATACATGAGTGTAATAGAGAGGACACACAGAAACGTAGAAAGGACGTCCACTGAACAACATGGAACTTGTGACCAAAAGGTCACGTTTAAAGGAGATTCGGTAGAGAGATGGTGAGAATGGAAAGATGAGAGATGATAGCTGAAGCCACGGAAACAGCAAGAGATGTCTACTGTGGATTGATAACATGAGCAGCCGTGATGTCACCACTAAGTGATTAAAGCTGCTGTTAAGGTGGCAGTCGAGTGAGGATTAAATGCGCCTGAGGCGTATACTATGGTAACTCAATATCAGAGGTTGCCAGGTTGGGGAAAACTCATCATGCCTGCCTCAGGAAATGGTAGGCTCATATCAGTCCTCCGCTGATGACATGCTGACCTTTAATGTGCCTCTGTCCCTCCCTGCAGGGAGAGAGGGAGGAGGGAGTGGATGAAAGCAGAGTGGAGAAAGATGCTAAGGTAAACAGATGAGTCCCCATGTTTACATCCATTTTGTTTTTCATAGTGTAATGAATCTTATATCATGTGTATTATATCAATGTAATTATTATATTATGTAATCAGAGCATGGGGGAACTAATGCAGGCCAATCATCCTTATTTTGGTAAATAGTTGTATAAATATGATGCCAGCATCTTTAATTTGATAAATAACTGGAAAAATATAGTACCAGCACGCATACTTTGGGTAACAATTGGGCAAAAATTATTTTGGTATGTAATTGTAAAAATATGGTAAAAGCATTCTGATTTTGGTAAACAATTGGATAAATATGATTTGCTAAACAATTGGGCAAATACAGCATTTTGCCTCCTTATTTTGGTAAATACTTGGATAGGTATAGTACCAGATTGTTTTGGTGAGGAAAGTCAAACTTACATACACAAAGTTTGTTAGGTAACCTACCCTCACACCGAATCTATGCTCACAATTTATTACCCATCCTACCAAAGGAACAAAGGAAAGGTGACCGCAATAGGACCGCTGCTGACCAAATATTATTTGGCCATTTGATAGTGACGAAGAGTGATGGTGTGTTTGGTCTAAGTCAGATTTCCTTCTTCAGTTTGTAACATAACCCAGGGGTGCCAAGTTTAAGTTGAACTGATAGAAGTAACATGATGCCCAGGTGTAAGTTTCAGACGTAAGACGTGTTTGTGTGTTTTTTGTTGATCACCTTTCAGGAGTTGTTTGCTGCGGGTGAGGGGAAATTCGGGACAGATGAAGACAAGTTCATCAACATCCTCGGTAACAGGAGTGCTGAGCACCTGAGGAAAGGTAAGTGTGTGTTTATTTTTGCGCATTTTCAGGACAAAGATTTTTATAGGATAACCAGAGACCCTATACCACCTGCTGTATATATATATATATATATATATATATATATATATATATATATATATATATAGAAATCAAACCGTAGATGTCCATAAATTATGTGTAATAATAAGAAATGACACAGGGAAAAAGTATTGAACACATGAAGAAAGAGAGGTGCTAAAAGCCATGGAAAGTCATGAGACCAGCTGAAATCTATCAGTAATTAGAAAGCAATCTTGCCACTTGCAAATTAATATCAGCTGGTTCAACTGATGGCCTATAAAAAGGTGTCTCATTACTAAGGTGCCACACGAGAAACATCTCATGATGGGTAAAACCAGTGAGCTCTCTCAAGACCTTCGCAACCTTATTGTTGCAAAACATACTGATGGCATTGGTTACAGAAGAATTTCCAAACTACTGAAGGTTCCAGTGAGCACTGTTGGGGCCATAACCCGGAAGTGGAAAGAACATCATTTCACCATAAACCAGCCACGACCAGGTGCTCCTTGCAAGATTTCAGACAGAGGAGTGAAAAGAATTATCAGAAGAGTTGTCCAAGAGCCAAGGACCACTTGTGGAGAGCTACAGAAAGACTTGGAATCAGCAGGTACAATTGTTTCAAAGAAAACAATAAGTAATGCACTCAACCGCCATGGCCTGTATGCACGCTCACCACGCAAGACTCCACTGCTGAAGAAAAAGCATGTTGAAGCGTGTTTATTGCTCAACAACATTTAGACAAGCCTGTGAAATACTGGAAGAATATAGTCTGGTCAGATGAGACCAAAATTGAACTCTTTGGATGCCATAATAAACACCATGTTTGGAGGTCTAAAGGCACTGCATATCACCCCAAAAACACCATACCAACAGTGAAGTTTGGAGGTGGGAACATCATGGTGTGGAGCTGTTTTTCAGCATACAGCACGCTTGATATAATTGAAGGAAGGATGAATGGACAAATGCACCGAGACATTCTTGATAAAAATCTGCTGCCATCTACCAGGATGATGAAGATGACACATAACTTAATTTATGGACATCTATGGTTTGATTTCTTTGCATCTGTGGACTGGATGGGTTGTTACCGACATCTGGTGAGAATTTCATGTCAATAGCACCGTGGGAAATATACTTACTTAGAAAATTGGTGACGTGTTGAATACTTATTTCACCCGCTGTATATATCTATACATATTACTAAAAGAAATGGCCTAAAATGATTTGGGAAAAATTCTGGTTCCATTGGCTTACATTAAAAGTAAAGTAGGTTTTTTCTTTTTCCTGTAAAGTTATCATTTTGGAGATACAAGGTTTTCTTGCGATATGGACAAAAGTATTGGGACATACCACTTAAACATTCAATTCAGGTATGTCATTCAGTTCCATTGCCACAAGTATATGAAATCAAGCACCTAGCCATGCAGTCTGATGAATGGGTAAAGATTCCTACAGACACACTCCAAAATCTTGTAGAAAGCTTCCCAGAAGAGGGGAAGCTGTTATAGCTGCAAAGGGGGAACCAACTCCATATTAATGCCTATGGATTTAGAATGGGATGTTAGCTTCTGTAGGTGTAATGTGTAGGTGTCCCAATACTTTTGTCAGTATAGTGTATATTACATATCAGACATTTTACATTTAGGTACTTACATGCACACACACACACACACACACACACACACACACACACATATACTGTATATATATCTATATATATATATATATATCTATATATATATATATATACACATATATATATGTATGTTTTTATGTATGTATTACATGCGTGACATTTTACTTTAATTTTATTGTTTCTGAACTTCTCTCTAGTTTTTGAAGCATATAAAAAGATAGCTGGCTGTGACATTGAAGAGAGCATTCAGGGCGAGTGCACTGGCAACCTCGAGGAAGTGCTGTTAGCAGTAGGTGAGAAAGAAAAGGAAGAAATAAATCTACTCACAGGCACAAAAGAAAATGTAATGTCGAAGTCACAAATGTTTACTGGCATTGTTATAACAAATAATGTCTGATACATTCAATCTTCATTTCAGTCTCAGATGAATCACTTTGCATTGAACTGAAATGAACTGTGGGTAACATGCTTTGTCTTTCCTCAGTGAAATGTGCTAAAAGCGTGCCGGGCTATTTTGCCGAAAGCCTCCGCGAGTCTATGAGGGTATGAATAATCAATGTCCATGAGTTTCCATTTTAGTTAATGGTAGCGCACTGGAACACTGTTATTTAAATAGTCCTCATTGCCACTTCATTTTACGTCTTATGTTTTATTTGCTGGTTTGCATTTGTCCAGCGTGCTGGCACTGATGATGAGACGCTGATCAGAATCATGGTATCAAGGAGTGAGGAGGACATGCTGGACATCAGAGCCAAATACAAGAAGATGTATGGAGAGTCACTGTACCGCACCATACAGGCAGGTGTAACACATCCACACAGTTTTCCCTTTAAATCTAGTTGATCAGCTGAGGCATGTTTGGTGACTGAAGTTTGCTTTTATAGTGTAGGCTAATATAGCTAACAGGTAATGGAAGAGACAGTCCTGTATCAAAGCTATCCTGAAATACAGCACTTGTCAACAATTACAAGTAATGGTAACATGACACTGTTATATTATTGAACAAAATCAATCATGGCAACTCAAAACAGCAAACCACATTGGCCATGACATGTTTATAGCATGATTATGTTGCGTTATGCAGCAGATTTTAAGAAAAATATTACTGTGGTTTCTAACACTGTTCAACATACTGTTATCTCTAACAAGGACACACTGTGTCACTGTTCTTGTGTCAAAATCTGTATTTTTTGACAAAAGCGCATTGCAAAACAAGCAGTAGTAGTAGGCATCTTGAAGCCTTAACTTATCTTGTTTTATAGAGACCAGTCAAGTGCAGTACGAGCTGTTTGTTTGGATTTTTGTCTGAGTTTATGTTTTTCTGTCCGTTTTCAGGAAGACACTGAGGGAGATTATGGAAAGGCCCTGCTCTACCTCTGTGGCGGAGACGATTAAGTGTTACTTTTATTCACTCTCTTATTGCTTTGCTTATATCAGCTCATGGTTCATATTTATTCAAGTCTGGCCTGGTACTTTTGCCTGTCCACAGGAACATTATTTTATATGTTTTATACTAGTGAGTGTCACATTCCAGTAGTTTAGTCAAATTCAAAATGCTTAGGCCTGAGAGTCTACTTTTTATTTGATTCTTTCATTGCTCTTAATGTATTTAATAACTGTGTTAACTGTGAAGCATAAGCAGATATGTAGAGTAGCCTAAACCCATAAGCAAGTAAAATGAAATGTTGACTTGAGAAAAATGTTATGACTAAAATGTAACTGAGGAAAAAAGTTCACAATTCCTCAGAAATATACTTAAGTAGAATTGAAAGTATCATAATTTGAAACTACTCAGAAAAGTAAAAATGCATCCAAGTAACTAAATAAATGTGACTAGTTGTTACCGACCTCAGCCTGCAGCATCAATGAGGCTTCATCTTGTTTCATGAATGGATTTTGTGTGATGTATTCATTGCCTTTGAAATCTTGTAGAGTCAGAAGATTTGCTATTTACATCGGATGGGCCTTCATTTATTTGTAATGGCGCTTGCTTGCCAGTAGGTGGCATAACTATATTGAACTATATGTCCAGTTTGGTAAAATGATAAAAGTGCACTTACTCACTGAACATTATCTCTGAGATTTGCCTGTTTTAGCAAAATATTGTATCTCAGTGTAAACTAATGCCCGATTAAAATTGATAACACATTCATAACATTCAGAGAAAAGTGATGATTTACATATTGCCCATATGGGAATATCAAACACATTGCAATCTATGCTGAAATACATTCAAAAAATTTAAATGTATTTTCAGAATATACTGCCATAGTAACCAACTATATTTTAAAATATATGGGGAAATATTACACATAGAAATCTACAATACAAAAATAAATGTATGTAAATGTGTTTATCAAATATGTATGAAAAGAGCTAAAATACTAGTCTAATGAACGTTACAGTTTGAAATACTTTTTGAAATGAATTTGTATTCCAATATCTTAATTTTACGTGTTCTAAAACCTTTAACATTTTGTAAAAGCAAATGTTGCAGGTATTGATAATGCAGTTATAATTTGATATCTTAATTTTGTGTGAGTGTCTTACTATATACATACAATAGTTAATGCAAAGTACAATGCAAAATACAGAAGTCAGTCCCATTCATTCAGTTCACGTGTGTTCAGTTATATCTGTAACCCTTATTACATACAATTAAAAATACAGTAACAAATACAAATAAATGTGTTTTAAAAATATATCTAACAAATACTTTTGGCAATTTTCATAGCCTGCAAAAATCTATTTAATAAATACATTTGAAACAGTTTTTTTTTCAGTATGGGTGGGTAAACAAGTAGACTTACAGTAACTTGATAAAGTTCCCCACTTCTATGAACATCGTTAGACATCTGACACAGCTTAAAGCCTGACTACACTGACAGGCCCAGCTGTTAAATAGTTCATGGACTAAAATGATTAACAAAGAATTCCATTCAATGAAAATCTTTTGTTGAGTAAACCTCTTGATCTCGCCAGCCCTGTTTTCATTTTTTATTTATTTATAGAGATTTCAGTGTTCAACTACTGATGAGAACTGGCTGAGTAAATGTGCATTTGGGCAGGTGTTGAACTGAAGAGGTGTATATGTGTGTGTGTGTGTGTGCACTTCCTAAAGTCTAATTCTGCTCACTAAGCCCCGTTCTTAAAATCCTTTCTCTCGAAAGCGCTATGGTTATGATTTTTTGTAGTAGGGTCAGTCCCTCGGCCAATCAGAAAACGGTGGAGCAGGGTGGGACATCAGGCCACATCAGTCCACTCGGAAACAATACAATACTCTCCACCCACCTGGAACCACCAGGAAGTAAAAAATTCCTGGAGCACAACATGTGACAGCGATGGGGAGGTTTGAGTCCCCCCCCGGATTAGAGGTGAGGTCGTGACCTGTTTGATGCGCCCAGTCTGATGAAACCCAAAAGTTAAAGCACTAGATTAGCTCATACACCTTTACTTTTTTGGCACTTCGTCATGTTGGCATGCAGAGTCGGGACACCATACAGGTACAGAAACCACTGAGCATTCTCTACACTCTACTATCAGATTTCTATTCTCTTTTATTTCTCACTACGATGTTGTTTCACAGAGCAGGGAGTGTCTACTACTTTCTGTAAGATTCAATGAATGACCTATAAACACTGCCAAAGGCCTTTAATAAGGATATGTACTGTAAAGATATTTCACTCTCACCTGTGACGTTAAGAAAATGTGTGATAGTAGCTTAAATGGAGGTACTTCCGTAAATGAGTGTGGCCTGTGAGTGAATGAACAGTTTGATTAATGAATGAAGGATTAGACGCCTACAGCTGAATTAAAACAAAGCGCATGTGTGACGTGTGGCCTGCTTCCTTAATATCACTGGCAGCTGAATAATGACTTTACTTCAGCCTTATCCCAGGAGGAGTTATGCAGCCTTTGGCACACTCAAATCACGCTGGCATTAATCACTGCTGTTCTCTCCCAACCAATCGCATTTCACTCTCTCTCTGAGTGTATTTTAGTATTTCAGAACACACCCAGCTGTACTGCATGAAAGCACTGAGGATGGACACAAAGCAGCACAAGCGGATATGTTCATTAATATTGGTTTGGAGACCAAAACCATATGCAGAAATCAGTGCTGAAAGCAGAATACAATAGTCAGGGTACCATACCAGAACTGCTGGTTCAAATCCAAAATGGAGCATTAGCAGATTTGAGCTTCTGGTATTAACATTACATTGTTGGAAAACTATTATAAAAAAGAATAAACGTGGAACCACACTGAGACAGCTATTGAATGCATTTTTCTTGTTTTTAATCTTTTTTTTCCTTCAGTTTTGTAGAATTTTATGCACCACAACAGTCATAATTCATTTTTGCACAACTGTTTTCAATATCTCACCAGCTGTCCAATGTCTAAGAATCAAACAAGACCTTTTCTTTCTGTTTTGGCTGCCTGCCCTGTATTAAGCCACATTCAACTAGCAGTCTGGGGGTGTATGTCCCCTCGCTTGTCAGGCCCACTCATATTTCAATCTCTTAAAAAGTCCCCTGATACCAATGAAAATGTTACAAAATAAAATTCTTCATGTGTTCTTATAATAAAATATGAACCCAAAGGGGCTCTTGTATCCTCAAGCCTTAAAGAAATAAATGATACTGACAAAGCTCTCCTTAGGATCAAGCTCGTCAAACTAGGGACCTTCCTGGCCAAAGCGCTGCGGAGATTAGCGTTTACCTTCATCTAACGCTCTGAATTCAGTTCATGAAGGCCTTGCTAATTAGCTAATGAACTGAAATCAGGTTTGTTTAAAGAGGCAGCGTGCTGAAGTCTGCAGTGTTTGGGTTGCAAGGATCAGAGCCTGACACATGTGCCTTAGATCATCCCGTTTTCAGCAGATAGTATAATCATGGCAACATTTTTACGGCTGCATGTCGCCATTAGTCACACCATGGCCGTTTTACATGAATTCAGCAATAAGGCCTGGAGCAACACTTTTTTAACATAGCATGAAACTTTTTCATATTTTTTATGTGAGCTTAGCTGAATTGTGCTAGTTCCTAGCATAGGCTATTGCTTACTTAAGTCGTGAGCTAAACAGTGAAGTTGCCTGTGTTAAAGTTCAGTACTGAAACAATTATGATGTTTTCAGCCATTCTTTCAAGACTAGTAGTGCAGTACAATGTAGACCTGTGGTTAATTAGCCAATACCAGCTGCTGCATGCTATCAGCTGGACAGTTAATGCAAGGTCAACAATTGTGTATTGTGTTAAATATTCCTTTTTCTCTGGTTATGGTAGTTACAATAAAGCAGTGAAGCAATGAAGCCCCTCAACGTGTAACCACAGCACCCTAACAATGGAATTCTGGCTACACCACTGGTTTACACTGATATCCTCAGGAATAATAAATGCTCAAGATGTGTATATCCTTTGGAAGCTGCAATTGCTTCCCAGCAGCCAGGAACAGCACAACATTTGATCGTCTTCCCCTTCATTGACTTGATTGCCCGCAGTAACAACACTCCGCATAACTTCAGAGTGAATGTGTGGCTTCTCATTTGTAAATATGCTCATGGTTGTGACATCACAAGTTTGATAAATTCAAAAACGGGTTGCTCTTGCAGCTTAGTTGACTGTATGGACTGGGGAATAAATGGTATGTTTTGAAACAAATAATGTTTACCTGGTATATCAAATAATTTTACTAAAAAAAAGAAAAAGAAAAATGTTAGACAGTTAGAAAAGCAGCAAATAAGACATTTTAGTTTTATGTCTGGTCTCAACACGTTGGGTTCTACACACAGCTAATCGTTATGTGCCTGAGGGAGATGCTTCTCTCTTCCTTCACAATCTACATTCCAAAAATTATGTTTTTATCCTCCAGTCATCATATAATGGCTATAGGATCATTAAGAACCTTGACACAATGCCAGCAAACTTCATTAACTCTCTACCTGCCTTTTTTTGGGTAGGACTGTCCACTCATTTTCAGCACAGGATAGATAATCTCTCATTATATAAGACAGCACCATAGTTCATGGACTTATGTCAACTGACCAGATCTGGAAAGTGTTAAGAACCATTTGTTTTTCTCAGGAAGGAGCAGCCACAGCATGTGTGTGAGCTTCATTCCGGTTTTCACACATATATTCTTCTTCAAAACCCACAAGTGGCTATTCGTCATACTAGAGTGAGTTTTATTTCTCATTGTTAAAAACAATAGTTACTGCATTATGAAAGTTTATTAAACCTCCATGTGGTTGACTGAGTGCATGGAAATAACACAACAAGATGAAAAACACATTCCTTTTAGTGAAAACTGTCTATGTGATGGTCATCAGAATGGACCAGGGAAGACTGGCCTATTCTAATAACTAAACTATAACTAACGGTAGATTATTTGGCAACTGCCAACTTCTAAACCTAATATCTCTAGAATTTCCTGCTGTAGTAACATATATCATTGTAATCTGTAGTCTAAAATGCTAACTAAGATTCTGATGGTTAGCACTCATATTAAAGAGCCCATATCATGGAAAACTGGATTTTCCTCACTAAAAACGTTT